CAGGTTAGCCTAATTAAACCTGTTAGCCTAATTAAACCAGTTAGTCTAATTAAACAGGTTAGCCTAATTAAACCTGTTAGCCTAATTAAACCAGTTAGTCTAATTAAACAGGTTAGCCTAATTAAACCTGTTAGCCTAATTAAACCGGTTAGCCTAATTAAACCGGATAGCTTAATTAAACCAGTTATTCTTATTAAACCAGTTAGTCTAATTAACCCAGTTAGTCTAATTAACCCAGTTAGTCTAATTAAACTACTTAGCCTAATTAAACATGCTAACATTTAAACATGTTAGCTTTATGAAACATGTAAGTTTAGTCAAGGTTTTCTGTTTTATTTACAAAGTGAAGACAAATARAATGGAACATGAGACAAAAAATAAAAACTACACAAACCCTAAAAGCTATAATAGCTGAAATCTGCAACTAAAGCTGAAACTGAATTATTATAGCTAAACGAAGACTAACACTAGAAATAAGCTAAAAGAAAAAACACTTTCTAATAAAAAGACACAGAACAATAGCAAAAAGCTAACAAAAGCAAAATGCTAGCTAAAAACTAAAAGTAGCAAAACAGTTAAACATGAACTGAAGCAAACAAATGGCTAAATGTCTCAAACTTTAATCTAATAGCAAAAACAGTGCAGTAGCTAAATGCTAATGTAGGAAAAAAATCTAGCTTAAAGCTAAAGCAACATAAGTCCAAATCTAAAAGTAGAAAAAGGGTAGCTAAAATTATCAGCTAAATGTAGCTTCAGGCTAACTCAAGCTAAATTAACAGTAGCTTGAAGCTAAGAGACAAAAAAGCCAAAAACAAGCTTAAAAATGAAAATATTTTGTAAATAAAGGACAAACATTTTATTAATGTTATTTTGACATGTAGATTAAATGAAAAGTATAATTTTTTATTTAAATTTAGTTTGTTTTGTGAAGTCAAACAGTTACAGCACTGAAAGTTTTTAAASTTCCTGTTTATCTAAACTTGATTAGATTTTCAGATTAAGAGTTTAATTATGAACTTTAACTTCAAACTAATTTCATCTGTTTTATATTTTCTTTGTTGTTCTGAGACTTAATTTAAGAGATTAATCAGGATTAAAGCTGACATTTCTGATCAGATTCCTGCAGCCCGAGTCCTCCGGCTCTTTTTAAAGATGTTTTTAAGGATTTAAAGTTTGGATGAAAGACACGACGCGTCCATCTGTCTTCTTCTGTTTTTGTGTCATTTGTCCTTTTTTTTTGTGTCTYCGGCTGATGGAGATCAGACGATTAGTTAAATGTCAGCTTCTTTCAGGAGGCGGGGCAGCGGGGGGCTCCTGGACGTGAGGGGGAGGGGGGTCGGGTCCAGTCAGGGGGACGAGGACAAACGGTGGCTCGGTTTGATCGGGAAGGTTTRAAACACAAACAGAACCGGACTCAACGTGTCAGCAGACCTCAGTGTGCAGTCTGAGCTCAGAGCTCATGGTGGAGGTGACTCTCAGCTACTACCACTCCAAACTTTAGCTCATTATCTGCGTTTGTTAGCTGTGGCAGATATTTTGCTAACAGAAGCCAACATAGGTAAACCACTCTGCTCTCTGCAGCAGGTCAAAACAGTAATCAKTGATACGAGCTTCAGTATCACTTCCTGTTGACCTCTGAGGACACACCCACCTGTGTGATGTCATCACCGGGCTACCTGTGTGTGATGTCATCACTTCAAACATCTAGGACAGGTCCGAGGACTTCCTGTCTGTCCTCACAAACCAGGGTAAGTGAGCTGAAACGATGAGAAGGGGTTATCTGCAGAATCAAAGTGGGCGTGTCACAAGAGTGGGCGTGTCTAAAGCATGAACACTGTGGGCTACGAGGCCTACAAGACGGTATCGATACAGCCTGACCCTGACCCCAACACCAAGGTTAACCAGGAGAAATGTGACCCAAGTAGGGGTCTACAGAAAAAGTGGTGCCGTACATTAACGCCCCTTTTATTCTTGTCCAATCAGGTGGTGCCGTACGGTGACGCCCCTTTTTTTTGCTTGTCCAGCCAGGTGTGTCCCTTTCAAAAAGTCCGTCAAATCAGGTGTGTCGCTTTAGAATCGCCTTACGTTGGGACACGCCCACTCGTCCACAGAGACCCCTACTTGGAAATGATGGGGATCAGGAAGTCCAACATGGCTGCCAAAAGGGGCGGGGCCACAGAATCCCTTCATTTGCACATCAGTTCATTCATCACACAAAAGCTAAAGGCATTCCTCTGCTGTCAGTCAGAGGCAGAAAGGAGACTTCACATCTATTCAGACACACACACACACACACACACACACACACACACACACACACACACA